AAAGAAAAGAAAAGAAAAGAAAGAAAGAAAAAGAGAAGAGAAAGAGGAGAAGGAAAAAGGAGGAAGAAGAAAAAGAAGGAAGATAAGAAGGAGAAGGAGGAGATGGAGAAGAAGAAAGGAGGAAGAAGAAAGAGGAGAAAAAGAAAGAATGAAGAAGAAGGAGGAAGAGAAAGAGAAGAAAGAAGAAAATAGGGGAAGTCATTTTGATTTGGTGTCACTTTGGAATGATGTTGAACTTTAGGTAGCCAAGTGATTTGTCTGCTCAACAGGATCAGATGAAGATGTTTTTGTAGATTACTCTTGTAGGGTGTGGCCAGGTGGAAGTCCTCTCTGGTATGATATGCTTATTGTCTTGGCAGAGAAGGGTTTTGGTTGTGTGGTACAGGAAGGACTATGTAGGGATAGAGAAAATAGATCCAGAAGAAAGATGTGTCTGGATTCCATAGAAACCGTCAGAATATCTTGCCAATCAGATCAAGAACCTGGAAAAATAAATATACAAAAATGGTATTTTCCCCCCAGAAAACATATCAACAACTTGTATGACTACAGTATTCTGCACACCATAGTTTAGGAAATACCTAGAGTTATTTATATTGTTCTGCCTAGACACTGAAATATAAAAACATGATTTTCTTCCCAGAAAACGTATTTACATCTTTTATGCTGTTAATATTCTCCATGACGTAACTTATTTAGGAAATGCAAATAGCCCAAATACTCTTCACTTTTGTTTTCTATTTGTTTTTTTCTGGAAATAGGCACTTTGACTACTACACTACTATTATTATTTACGTCATATTACTTTTTTTTTTTTTTGAGACAGAGTCTCACTCTGTTGCCCAGGCTGGAGTACCACAATCATGGCTCACTGCAGGCTCAACTTCCTGGGCCCAAGCAATCCTCCCATGTCGGCCTCCTAAGTAGCTGGGAGAATCACTTGAGCCCAGGAGTTCACGACCAACCTGGGCAACGCAGCAAGACCTTGCCTTCAAAAATTTTTTAAATTAATTAATTACTTTTAAAAAGACACTTCCCTAATATAAAAATACAAATATCATTGTACTTTTAGTGGAGAAAGGGTTTTGCCATGTTACCAGGCTGGTTTCAAACTTCTGAGCTCAAGCAATCTGCCTGCCTCAACCTCCCAAAGTGCTGGGATTACAGGTATGAACCACCACACCCAGCATATTACATATTTTTAAGCAAAGTTTTACTTAAATTCTATCTTCCATATACATGTTCCACCCAAGAATTCTTATTGATATCTATAAAATCAAACACAAGCTTATTTTCTTCACCATCATTCTGTGTACTGATATATGGATCTAACTCTCAACCAACCCATTTATTCTTGAGATAACTTATATGCAGTAAGGTGCACAAATCTTACATGTACAGCTTAATGAATTTTTACATAAGCATTAACTAAAGATACGGACATTTCCAGCGTTCCAGAAAGCTTCCTCATGCCATTCCATCAATACTTTATTAAAGATGATGACTATTCTGAACTTTCCCACAGATTAGTCCTGTTTGTTTTTGAACTACATACAAATGAAATCATACAATATATTATTTTTATATGTGGCTTCTTCCAATATTTTGTATGTGAGATTCATCTATGTTGTTGAATGTGGTTTGTTCATTTTTATTTCTGTATCAGTATTATGTCACTCTATCACTCATTCATAATTTATTCATTCGACTCATGGTGAACATTTGAATTTTTATCAGGTTAGGGCCATTACTGTAATTGCTATGAACACATTCATCCATGTCCTTTGGTGGACATAAGCACTCACTTCTGTAGTGTATATACTCAAGAGTGGAATTGCTGGTTCAAGAAGTGTGCATACATTTGGCTTTGCAGATACTGCCAAAAAGTTTTCCAAAGTAGCTGTACAAATTTGCATTCCCATGAGCAATGTATGAAAGTTCCATTTGCTCCATATCCTCACCAAAACTTGGTGTTGACATTCTGGTGGAGGTATAGTGGTATTTCATTATGGCTTATATTTGGTTTCTTGATACCTAAGCATTATGAACAGCTTTTACACTTAGTGGCCATATGGATATTCTCTTTCTTTGAGGTATACGTTTCCATTCATTTAAGAATATTGAGTTGTCTGTCTTTTTATCATTAAAAAGGAGTTTCTTACAGGAGGAATCTTTGAAAAGTTCATGGAAAATGTATATTATGAAAAAAACTACACATTGATTTTTTTTACACCAAAATAAACTCATATTAAATTAATAGAATATGTCTGAACAGGATCTAGTTTGAAGCACTAAGAAGGATAAGACATCAATTTGAAAACAGCCCTTAACAGAGTAACATGAATTCAGTTAAAACTGAAGCAGTAACACGACATCAAATTTATGGTGAAGCTTAGATGGAAGAATGGTGAAATTATTGATGTTTTACAAAAAGTTGATGGCACAATGCTTCAAAGATTAGCAGTTTACAAATGTATAACTCATTTTAGGAGGGATGAGGTGATATTGAAGATGAAGCCTGCAACAACGCACCATTCACATCAATTTGCAAGGAAAAAATGTAATCTTCTTCATGCCCTAATTGAAGAGGACTGACAGTTAACAGCAGGAACAATAGCCAACACTATAGACATCTCAATTGCTTCAGCTTACACAATTCTGACTGAAAAATTAAAATTGAGCAAACTTTCCACTGGATGGGTGCCAGAACCATTGTGCGCAGATGAGCTGCAGACAAGAGCAGAGCTTTCAACGGAAATTTTAAACAAGTAAGATCAAGATCCTAAAGCATTTCTCCAAAGAATTGTAATAGGAGATGAAACATGGCTTAGTAGTAAAATCTTGAAGACAAAGCACAATCAAAGCAATGGCTACCAGGAGGTGAAAGTGGTCCAGTCAAAACAAAAGTGGACGGATCAAGAGCAAAGGAAGGCTGAGTACAGTGGCTCATGCCTGTAATCCTAGCACTTTGGGAGGCCAAGGCAGAAGGATCACTTCTTAGGAATTCCAGACAAGCCTGACGAAATAGTGAAATCTTGTCTCTATAAAAAATGTAAAAATTAACCAGGCATGGTGATGTGTGCCTGTAGTCTCAGCTACTTGGGTGGCTGAGGTAAGAGGATCACTTGAGCCCAGGAGGTTGAGACTGCCATGAGCCGTGATCATGCCACTGCACTCCAGCCTAGGTGACAGAGCAAAACCCTGTCTCAAAAAAGAAAAAAAAAAAATCAACCAAGAGCAAAGGTGATGGCAACATTTTTGCAGGATGCTCAAGGCACTTTGCTTATTGACTCTCTGAAAGAAACAAGTTCTTTTAAGGAAAAGGAAACATTCTTTTAAACATAAAGAATGATAATACTGCCAGGTGTGTTGGCTCACACCTGTAATCCCCGCACTTTGGGAGGCCAAGGTGGACAGATCACCTGAGATCAGGAATTCAAGACCAGCCTGGCTAACATGGCAAAACCCCATCTCTACTAAAAACACAAAGATTAGCCAGGCGTCATGGAGCACACCTGTAATCCCAGCTACTTGGGAGGCTGAGGCAGGACAATCACTTCAACCCAAGAGATGGAGGTTACAGTCAGTTGAGATCACTCCACTGAACACCAGCCTGGGCAACAGAGTGAGACTCTGTCTCAAAAAAAGAAAAAAAATGACAATATTATGACAATGCTTATTACGGGAGTTTTGAGAGAGTTAGCCAGTTAGCAGAAAAATGCCTGAAAAGCTTCACCAGAGAGCTCTCCACCACAACAGTGCTCGTGCTCATTCCTCTCATCAGACAAGGGCCATTTGTGAGTATTTTGAGAGCTCATTAGATGTCTACCTTACAATCCTGATTTAGCTCATTTTCACCTCTTTTTGCATCAAAAAAATATTTAAAGGGCACAAATTTTTCTTCAGTTGATAATGTAAAAAAGACTGAATTGACATGGTTAAATTCCCAGGACCCTCAGTTCTTTAGGGGTGGACTAAATGGCTGGTATCATCGCTTACAAAAGTGTCTTGAGCCTGATGAAGTATGTAGATCAAGTTTATGTTTTAACTTTTAATTCCATTTTTATGAAGTTTTGGAGTCCCCTTGCATAGTCTATGTATGAATTCTTTGTCAGATACATGTATTAAAGATATTTTCTCTCGAGGCCAGGCACAGTGGATCACACCTATAATCCCAGGACTTTGGGAAGCCGAGGCAGGCAGAACACTTGAGGCCAGGAGTTCAAGACCAGCCTGGCCAACATGGCAAAATGGCATATCTACTGAAATTATAAAAATTAGTGGCCATGGTGGTGTGACCGCAATCCCAGCTACTCAGGAGGCTGGGGCACAAGAATTGCTTGAACCCAGGAGGCAGATGTTGCAGTAAGCTGAGACTGCCACTGCACTCCAGCCTGGGCAACAGAGCAAGACTCCATCTAAAAAAAAATACATCTGCCGGGCGCGGTGGCTCAAGCCTGTAATCCCAGCACTTTGGGAGGCCGAGGCGGGTGGATCACGAGGTCAAGAGATCGAGACCATCCTGGTCAACATGGTGAAACCCCGTCTCTACTAAAACTACAAAAAATTGGCTGGGCATGGTGGCGCGTACCTGTAATCCCAGCTACTCAGGAGGCTGAGGCAGGAGAATTGCCTGAACCCAGGAGGCGGAGGTTGCGGTGAGCCGAGATCGCGCCATTGCACTCCAGCCTGGGTAACAAGAGTGAAACCCCGTCTTCAAAAAAAAAAAAAAAAAAAATACATCTATGTCTACATCTACATCTTCTCTCAGTCCATTGCTTTTCCACTCAATTTATTCTATCTTTTGATAAATAGAAGTTCTTAATTTTTTTTTTCTTTGAGACAGGGTTTTACTCTGTCACCCAGGCTGCAGTGCAGTGGCCCAATTATGCCTCACTGTAGCCTTGGCCTCCTGGGCTCAAGCCTCCCACCTCAGCCTCCTGAATAGCTGGAACTACAGGCATGTGCCACCATGCCTGGCTAATTAAAAAAATTTTTTGTGTGTGCAGATGGAGTCTTGCCATGTTGTCCAGGCTGGGTCTTGACCTCCTGGGCTCAAGCTATCCACCTACCTTGGCTTCCCTAAGTGCTGGGATTTCAGGTCTCAGCCAACACACCCAGCCTGAAGTTCTTAATTTTAATGAAGTATAATTTAACAGTCTTTTCTATTACAGAGGGTACATTTCTGTCCTGCCTATGATATTTTTCTCTACACTAAGGTCATGAAGACATTTTCCTATATTTTCTTCCAGAGCTTTATTTGGGATACATCCAGGTCTTTGGCAATCTCAAATTAATTTTTTATGGTATGCAGTAGGAATTCGGGTTAATTTTTTTCCATATTGATATCCAGTGGACCTGGCACCATTTATTGAAAAGACCATCCTTTCCCTGCTGAATTGTAGTGGTGTCTTTCTTGTAAATCATGTGACTCTTTTCATGCAGATCTGTCCCAGGATCAGCATTCTGTTCCACTGAACTGCGTGTCTATTCTTGCACCAATATTATACTCTTAGTTATTATAGTTCCAAAGTCAATCTTGCTATTTCTTAGCCCTTTGTATTTCAATATATATATTTTCAAACAGAATCTTCAGTCTAGTTAAATGTAACATCAAAATACTTGGGTGTAATTAGACCATCTTTCTACCTTGTTGTTTGTCCCATCTGTTTTTTATTCCTTTATTTCACCCTTCATGCCTTGTTTTGTATCACACTATTGTTATTTCATTTTCTCCTCTATTAGCTATTAGGACTACAGGTATGTGCCACAGTGCCTGGCTTAATTTTTTTTCTTTTTTTGAGACAGAATCTTTCTCTGTCACCCAGGCTGGCATACAGGGGCACGGTCTTGGCTCACTGCAACTTCTGCCTACCAGGTTCGAGCAGTTGTCATGCTTCAGCCTCCCAAGCAGCTGGGATTATAGGCATGTGCCACCATGCCCTGCTAATTTTTGTATTTTTAAAAGAGATGAGGTTTCACCATATTGGCCAGGCTAGTCTTGACTCCTGGCATCAAGTGATCTTCCCACTTTGGCCTCCCAAAAGGCCAGTATTACAGGCATGAGCCATAGTGCCTGGCCTGTGCCTGGCATTCTATTAGTTTTTTCAACAGCTTTATTGAAATATATGCCATGTAATTCATCCACTTAAAGTATACAATTCAATGATTTTTAGTCTATTCAAAGAGCTGTGCATCTATCACCTCAATTGCTTTCACATTTTCATTGCCACAAAAAAGAAATCCTGCATCCCTCAGCTATCACCCTCAATTCTCCTATATCCCTCCAGGCCTAGGCAACCACTAAACTAATTTTCTAACTCTACAGAGTTGCCTATTCTGGACATTTTATATGAACATTTAGAAAAATGTACACAATGGGTACTGGCGTGATATTATCTGAGTGTGTGTATATGTAAGAGAGTAAGGCAGTAAAAAGAGGAACTTCTGAATAACACATGGAGTGAGGAGAGAATAGGAAGAAAGAAAAAGTGGGGATAGATTTTTCTATTTTCATGAGTATGGACAATCATGTGCACTTGAAGATCAGATTTATGTTTATAAGAAAAGAACCACTCCATTAAAAAGGGGGAAAAGGACATGAGCAGACAGTTTTCAAAAGAAGACATATGTGCAGCCAACAAGCATGTGAAAAAAAGCTCAACATCACTTATCACTAGAAAAATGCAAATCAAACCCACAATGAGATACCATCTCACACCAATCAGAATGGCTACTACTAAAATGTCAAAAATTACAGGTGCTGGTGAGGTTGCAGAGAAAAAGGAACACTTACATACTATTGGTAGAAGTGTAAATTAGTTCAACGATTGTGGAAAACAGTGTGGAGATTCCTCAAAAAACCTAAAAACAGAACTATCATTTGACCCAGAAATCCCATTACTGGTATACAATTCCTTTGTATACCCAAAGGAACACAAATTGTCCTATCATAAAGATATGTGCATGTACACGTTCATTGCAGCACTATTAACAGCAAAGACACGAAATCAACCACAATGCCCATCATGGTAGACTACATAAAGAAAAGAAAATGTGGTACATATACACCATGGAATATTATGCAGCCATAAAAAAGAGCAAGATCATGTTTTTTGCAGGAATGTGGATGGTGCTGGAGGTCATTATCCTTAGCAAACTAACACAGGAACAAAAAACTAAATACCACATGTTCTCACTTATACATGGGAAGTAAATTATGTGAACACATGGACACATAAAGGGAAACAATAGATACGAGGGCCTGCTGGAGGGTGAAGGATGGAGGGTGGGAGGAGGTAGAGGATCAGAAAAAATAACTAGTAGGTATGAGGCTTAATGCCTGGGTGCAAAATGATCTGTACAACAAACTCCCATGACACAAGTTTACCATTTAACAAACCTGCACATGTACCCCATACTTAAAAGTTAAAAAAAAGATCAGATTTATAAATTAGGATACTGAATTCAAGGTTCTTGGTGAAGTTTCTTAAAAGAAACTAACATTGCACAGATGTGCCAACAATCCTAAGTGTAAAAGTTTTGGTTCTCAAATATCTGCTGAAGAAAGACTGGTATCTATTTTAGCACTGAAACTGTGGTAGTTCAGTCAGGGTGGTGGAGAAATATTAAGGGGAAAATATTAGAGATAGTTTAGGATATAGTTACAAAACCTCCTTGGAAGGCCAGGCAGCATGTAGCTTCAGATGACAGAATGGGCTGAAGGTGGTCAGTTCTTACCCTAAGGCATTAGAACATAGAGTAAATACTAGGAATTGTATAGAGACTTCCCCAGATAAGTCTGTTTGCCCCCATCTCTATTAGCAAACCTTTAATCATCTGTGTGTGCATAACTGCCTTCTACTTGGGATTGGGGGGTGGGGTGGCAGAAGTTTATTACCCACAAATGGTGTTTGTTTTAGGCCTCAGAACCTGGTTTTTAATTTTTACTCTCTAGTGGTGTTGACTGAAAGCCTTTGCTATTTAATGTGTGTTGAATAAAGGCCAGGAAGGCCATTGTGTCAGGGCCAGTGGCCATTAACTCCTTCTGGTGAGTGGCCAGGACATCCCAGCCTGCTCTTTCACTATATTCTGTGTCTGAGTTAATTTATTCATCTGTTGCAGGGTCAGGGTCTGCCTGTCAGCCCCAACAGTGGTGCCCCGTGTAAGAAGACTTGTCAGTGGTGCCCTCTCTGAGGCAAGCTGTAACAGATTGAAGATCACAATGGAACCCCCAAAAATGATGGTAAAAAGAGACTGTGCAACCAGTCAGTAAGTCATTGGTACCCGCTTGGGATTACCAAGTTCAGGGGAGATTGTTCAAGCTAGGGTTTCATCATGGGACAACAGTTATCAACTCAACGGAAACAGTGAGCTGTTAAAACAGTGTTAAAACAGCTGCTTAAAGCTAGTGGAGCCTCCATTTCACAGGCTCAATTAAGGGACCTAATGCAAACTGTTGTTTCTCAAAATCCATGGCTCCCAGCAGAAGGTACAGTAGACATATAGCTCTGGGAACAAGTGGGGAGAACTCTTTTTTTTTTTTTTTGAGACGGAGTTTCGCTCTTGTTACCCAGGCTGGAGCGCAATGGCGCAATCTCGGCTCACCGCAACCTCCGCCTCCTGGGTTCAGGCAATTCTCCTGCCTCAGTCTCCTGAGTAGCCGGGATTACAGGCACGTGCCACCATGCCCAGCTAATTTTTTGTAGTTTTAGTAGAGACGGGGTTTCACCATGTTGACCAGGATGGTCTGGATCTCTTGACCTCGTGATCCACCCGCCTCGGCCTCCCAAAGTGCTGGGATTACAGGCTTGAGCCACCGCGCCCGGCCGGGGAGAACTCTTAAACAGCATCATGCATAAGAGCAACAGGTCCCAGTACCATCATTACCAGGCCAAGATAACAAAGAGGAAATGGAGGTTTTGCCTGAGCTCCCTCCTCCTATAAATAGTAAAAAAGACAGGGGATATGCTCCAGCGATGGGACCTCATCTTAAGCAAGCAGCACTAGAAGGTAGGCTCTTAGCCTGCCCAATAGTGCAAGATCAACAAGGTGATTAGGTACATAAAAAGATAAGAAAAAATACTAGAGGCAGAAGCCATACGGCAATAAGCAGTGGGTGGAAGGAAAGCCTTGACAGCAAGAAAACTCATAAACCTGGAGCAAGCAAATGCTCCCCGGAACTTGGCCTGCATGGCAGCAATGGCAATGGGGAGCCACACTCAGCACACAGGAGCTAGCCTGCTAAGGCGGGGCAGGAGGCACCCACAGGAAGGTCTGCCCAGCTGGCAGCAGCTGCCCAGTGGCAGGGGGAGGGAGCAGCACAAGCAAAAAGCTGCACAGGCAAAAAGTGGCACCTAGGTGAGTGTAATGTGGCTTGCTGCCCTCTGGCTCCACAGGTGGCCCACAGTGAAATTTCATATGTTCCTGATATAGAAGCAATGTCCCAGATTATAATTCTCTGCTAAGATTTAAATAAAATTTAAGAATTTGTAAGACCTTTTTCTGATAATGGTCGCTGCTGTCATTCCAACCTTCCCCCTAACATGACCCTCTCCAAAACCTATTTAAGTAAAACTGTAACCTCTGAAGGAAGAGAAATTACAGACAGCCCATGAACTAGTTGAGGTTAATTTACAACCTACAGGACCCCTTCAATGGGTCCTCCCATCCCATGCAGCAATTCTTCAAGATTGGCCTGTAATTGTTATTGACTTAAAAGACTTTTTATACAATTCCTCTAGCAGAACAGGACATAGAAAAATTTGCGTTTACATTACCAGCTATTAATAATGAAAGACCAGCTTGCTGATTTCCCTGAAAAGTGCTGCCTCAAGGAATGCTGAACAGTCCTACTAAGTGTCAGTATTATGTAGAACAGGCTTTGCTCCCCAGTAGAAGGTAATTTCCCAATCACAAGATTATTTACTTTATGGATGATATTTCACTGGCAGCCCCAGCAGAGCCAGTACTTTTAAATTTATATAACTCTGTCATAAAGAATACACAGTTGAGAGGTTTACCCATAACACTTGAGAAAGTACAAATGTCATCTCCTTAGAAATATCTTGGGTACGTACTAACTTCCCAGTCAGTAAGACCTCAAAAGGTTAAATTAAATACTAGCAATTTACACACCTTAAACAATTATCAAGAATTACTGTGCAATATAAACTAAAGCCTTCCCTGTATGCTCTTTTTCTTCAACTTTATTTATGGGGTGGCCCAAACTGATAATGGTCCAGTTTATGCCAGCTCACAATTTCAACAATTTTTTTACATGCTGAACATTCAACATTCCACAGGCATCCATACAACCCCCAAGGACAGGGCATAGAACATACCCATTCCACCCTTAAAAATATGCTCAGAAAACAGAAAAGGGGGAGTATGAGTAAGGACCCTGCAACACTACTGACACAAGCTTTATTTACCCTTAATTTTTAAAATTTAGATAACAAATTTCAATCAGCTGTAAAAAAAAAAAACACTTGCTAAAACCTATCAAGACAGAAAGAAAGATTGGAGAAATAGGAGGAAAGAATGAGAAAGACATAAAAAGTAACATAAAGGAGAGAGATAAAGTAGGAAGAAGAGAAAGAAATATTAAGAACGTTATAGATATAAGAATGCACCTTTCCCAGCTTCTAACACCCCCTTTCCCAGCTTCTAACACCCCCTTTCCCAGCTTCTAACAATGCAACTGCTTGGCTGAAAGGGATTAACATACCCCTGGTGGGATTCCTCATTAATCACATATAGTGAACTGAGATGACACGTAACACTACAGGTCACTCTTTGATTGGGAAAGAATGTTGCTAATTATACTCATGATTGTCTTATGTTATTTGCTGATTCTAGGATGCAAAGCCAGAATAAGAGCAATGACTGACTCAACTGACGGACCTGTTGTTGCACCCGCTGGCACTCTTCAATTATTAAAGCCAGATGCAAAAAACAGAAAAGGGCTCCCCCTTTTCTGGTAGTTCAGTCAGGGTGGTGGCAAAAATATTAAGGGAAAATATTAGAGATAGTTATAGGATATAGTTACAAAACCCCCTTGGAAGGCCAGGCAGTTTACATAGCTTCAGATGATAGAATGGGCCAACGGTGGTTGGTTCTTACCCTACAGCATTAGAACACAGAGTAAATACTAGGAATTATATAGAGGCTTCCCCAGATAAGTCTATTTACCCCCACCTCAATTAGCAAACCTTTGATCAGCTGCTAGTGCATAACTGCCTTCTACTGGGGGGGGGATGTTGGCAGAAGTTTATTACCCACAAATGGTGTTTGCTTTAGGCCTCAGAATTTGGCCTTTAATCTATACCCTCTAGTGGTGTTGACTCAAAGCCTGTGCCATTTAATGGGTGCTGAATAATAAAGGCTGGGAAGGCCAGTGTGTCGGGGCCAATGGCCATTAACTTCTTTGAGTGAGTGGCCAGGACAACCCTAATCCACACTTTTACTGTGTTCTGTGTCTGAGTAAATGTATTCATCTGCTGTGGAGTCAGGGTCTTCCAGACCCTGACATGAAACCAGTTTTTTCCTTCAAAATACTTCAAAGGAAATGTGTGCCTCAGCCACTCCTATCCTTTTTTCTAGAAGGTAAATAAAGGTGACTAATGCAATTGGTGATTAAAAACCTGTATTTTTCTTAAATGGACAAAAAAGACCTTATAAGGATTTTTAGTTTCATTATTAATAATTATTTTTTCTTTTTATTCCAAGAAAGTGCCAAGCTTGTTTCTACCTTATTGTCTTTGCACTTGCTACTCCCACTGAATGAGTCCTGGTTCTTTGCTCAGTGGTTTTTTCTAATGATCAAAGCACTGAGGATCAGGTACAGTGGCTCATCCCTATAATTCCAGCACTCTGGGAGGCTGAGGTAGGCTGATCAGATCACTTGACCAGCCTGGTCAACATGGTGAAATGCTGTCTCTACAAAGAACACAAAAATAAGGTGAACGTGATGGTACATGCCTGTAATCCCAGCTAAGGCATGAGAATCGCTTGAACCCAGGAGGCAGAGGTTGCAGTGAGCCAAGATCACACCACTGCACTCCAGCCTGGGTAAGAGAGTGACACTCTGTCTCAATAAAAGAAGTACTGAGCTCATATGCCACCTCCACAGAGAAGCCTTTCCATTTAACTGTATCTAAGTCTTCCCTACTTCTCACCATCTCTTTCCAACTCCTGTATCCCATCATCCTGTTTTATTGTCTTCTTAGCTGTTATTTACAGTATCTGAAATTATCTTTTTTATGTATTTATTGATGGAATAAATGTTCTTCTCCTCCCTTTATAACATCATTTCTATATAAGAGCCAAGAACCTTGTCTGACTTATGCATTGCTATATCCCAGCAGTGCCTGCATACAATAGGGGTTGCAATAAATACTTGCTGGATAAATTAATAACAAAAGAACTTTCCTAGTATCCTCAATTTTTCAGGCCACTATGCTGAACGCTATACAATA